CCCCCCCCCCCCCCCCCCATCTTCCCCAAATCTATTTTCAATGAATTTTAAATGGAAGACTTTAAGGAGCCGTCTTGAAATCGCTTAAATCTCCATACCCTCTGAAAGTGACACACATTTCGGATTATGCGCTCTTGGAATGAGGAAGAAAAAAAAGAAAAGCAAATGAATTTCATCTGCATTTGAAAAGCTTCTTTGACTTTAAATCAGCTTTCAGTAGATACAGTTTGGAGAGGATTTGTGAAATGTCTTTGACCTGGGACTATTAGTGCCATAGACCTGTAGAAATGTAGAGGTCTGCTCTGCTCTTTTCTCTCTCCCAGATATGCTGCGATTACCTTACATAATCACGACATGTTGATTACGTATGTCTTTTGTTATTTTCTTGTTTTAGTTTTAACTCAACTCACAATATTCTGTTCTTGTGGATAAGTGACAAAAATAAACAATATGTTTAACTTTACAATTAGTGCAGTTGGCTGATAACATTTCAGATAAAAGCCGGTTTTACTCCACTGTTCAACTGTTTTCGACTTAGCTTGACATTTGACGCTATCAGTGAAAACCACACTGTAGCCCAACCAATGATAGATTTGTATTGTAGATACGGCTGTTGACAGGAGAGACTAAAAACAAATCTGATAATGATAGAATTGTTAGTTGCAGCCCTAATGGAGAGGACACTCTAAAACGACATTTGAGATTGTGATACAGATCAGGAGTTTAACGCCAATCATCTTACGGTCCACTTTAGCTATGCGATGCAAAAAACACATGTAGAGTTTTGACAGACCCCGGACCCTGTATGGCAATGATATATGTAGTTTATTTATACTGACAAATATAAACGAGTCCGTCCCAAACCTTAAAGCAATTATTTCCAATGTATCTGTATGTAATGTTCTTTCCTCTGCAGTCCAATCATTTCTCTCACGGCCAAATAAGACCGTCACAACACCAGAGAACAACCATTTTTCTTGGCAACGGTCAAAACTAGACAAAAAAAAGAAAGAAAAAAGAACACACTCCTGCTGCACTGCATCTCAATCCCAACAAATTGGCGGTAGAAAAGTCTGACCAGAGGTAAGTGGGACCAAGAAGAGTTGTTCTGTCTTTATCTTCTTAATGAACCTGTCACTCTTGTGTGGACACAGCTACAAACAGAAACTGTCCTGAAAGCTGCTTAGATCAACCAGAAGGGGGGTGGGGGGGTACGCGGCTGGCCGCACAGCAAACAGACTTTTAAATCTGAAGAGGAGTGCTCCAGTAGCTGAGAGATGTAGAGAAAACAAAATGAAAAGCTGTTTTCCTGCTCTCTGATGCTGGGCCTAGACATGTACTATGTGATGTCTGCACTGTAGGAAAGCAGAGAGCCTTCAAATCCGGTCTGGTCTGCCTTTGCTTCTTAATGTCAGACTTGTCTCACTACAGATTCCTAAGTGCTTTTTAAGCAGCAGTCATCAAAAGAAACAAAGAACTTTTGTCCCGACACGGCTGAGACCTGGAGAGTTTTGGCACATTGATCAGACGTCCAATCTACCATCCGTCTTCCATACATGTCAAGGGAATAGACGAACTCTATCTGAATGTGAACAAAGATGACAGAAGAATCACAGTGAAATGTTCAGTGGTACTGGAACAACAGCTTCACCGAGAGAAATATCACGGCATTTATCTCACAGTTTGCCTGCCGATTCAGATGCACTTGGGACATCAGGAATCAGAGCAACATCCTCCAGAATGAGACACAAACTGATCCGATTATGTAATTGACAGAAATATTTTCATATTTAGGGCTGCAATTTCTGGTTGGAGAGGTGCTATTAGTATCAGACTGAGTGGGCAGCTAGCTCGGGAGTCATAATATGAATCATCGGAGCCAAATTTCCTGCGATTGACTATCTTGATTTCTGTCCTTGAACTCAGCACCAGAGGGTATTTTGAGAGTGAAACCAAATTACAGAGATCACTGTCAGGTGAGAGCAGGACATGACAAACGGACATCTCTCCTGCAGGACTATATCCACTTTATAACGGCACTGCCCTTGTTTTGGAGACCTCAACACCAAGGCCTCTGCTCTTGATGGCTGCTCAGCACAAGTGCAATTATTCATAAGTCACCACACACAAACATGTCTCATACTTTTTTTTGGGGCGTGCAGTTGACAAAGTGGATGAACTCAAACCACTCAACTGTTAAGCTTCAGCACTACTGCCTCTCTACAACAAGAAGCGCACTGAATTTTTAAAGTTAAGTCAATTATTTGATTGTCATAAAAACAACCATTAGCAATCATTTTGGAAGGCATCAACGTTTTGTAACCCACATTATTTGTGAGCTTAAATTTCCTAAATTACTTTTATTTGTTGACTCATTTAATCCATGTAATGTACTTTGTTCTATTCTGAAATAAATGTGAGCACAAATACAGGAAGCAAATGTAACTCAAATCATACATTTCAGACTGTTTTCATATGCAAATATGGATAAAATCCTATAAACTTATTGACGATGAAGTGCACAAGGATAGTTGAAATAGATGCCAATGGAATCATCATAGTCGGTATATTCAATTATTCAGAAGCAGCATGACGACGACAAGTGAAGACAAACCTGAGCGCTAGCGTACACAGATAAAGCGCTCGGGGAGAAGAACAGGTGCTTCAAAGAAAAGTGAGATCTCAAGTGGATTTCTTTGATTAAGTCTCTGCTCTGTTTTTCTCCCAGATTACCGTTGGCTCGCAGAGAAATACAACACAGCGCAAAGAGAATGGGATTTCTTTAAAAGAGGGAAAGAAGGGCAACATGGACGCGAGCCAAGCCGTATCGTCATCATCTAGAGAGGTGTACTAACAGGTGGCGAGTGGTTTGAAAAGAATTTGACTTTGTCTCACTTTCAGGTTGGTGGTGAGGTGCGGAAACGTGTGTAAAGAATGCACATTCCACTTCGAACACAGATGTTGAAGCTTTAGAAGAAATAAAAAAGCATTATGCGTTCTAAAAAGCATAATCAAAGTCTTAAATTAGATGTTCTGAGTGCAATAATATAGCAAAGTGAAAAAGAGAAAAAATAATTATAAAAAGACTAAATTTTCATGATAGCAATTTTTATTTTAGTAACTCTTATATGATACTGCCACCCTAATTCATATTGGATGATAAATTAGATTTACACGTGTGATTAATCACCAGGGCACTGCGGGTCATAATTTACTGTCTGGCTTGATGATGAAAAAGTGCCGGCTTTGGTGACATTAAAAGGAACAAGGGCGGGGAGAGGGAGTTCTCACAGATGGTGATGATTTTCTGCTCCATGATGGCGACTGAATCTTTGTGTCAAACCTAATTAAATAGGGTTACAGATTAATCTGCAGGCAGAGTTACTGCTATGTGCTCTCCAGTATAAATTGTGCAACTGGCCTAACTGACTGCAGTAAAAGCAAGACTGTTCAATGGTTTTCTCAGTTAGCTTCTCACAACAAGCGACGGGGTCACGAATGCACAATTATAATTTTTTTTTTTCTTTGATTATTGCTTATTTCGTCAAGAATATTTCATCTCGTACAGAGATATAGTTAGCTTTAATGACATCGAATGAGAAAAATAAAATTCTTAAAGTGAAATCTTTATTACTTATAACCATTTGATGATTAGATAATAACATGTGGCAGGTTCTACGGGATAGCCTACATGTGGTTCTGCCAAAGTTATTGAATATTATTGAAACACATCGAACAGGTTTACTGATATGCCACTGCAGTAATAGCAGCTTGTTGACTTTGCCCACAACCCAATTCCTCTGTAAACAGACGCTATGAAAAACATCATAAAAATGTTCTTCGGCTTGAATTCTTGTCATTAATAGCCCACACAATTCAGTTTGTTACATTTGGCTTTTTTAATGGCTGTAAAATAAATTGGTTTTAGATAAAAGGGACATTCATTTAAAGCCCTGGCAGTACGGCTTGTACATCTGCTTGTTTGAAAATAGTTCAGTAATTTGTTAGTGAAGGAACCAATTTGAAATTGTCTGAAGAAAGGATTTTTGAAAATTTATTAAATTAAACCACACAAACAGAATGTAACGTTAATAATGCATACATTTAATACCTTTGACAAAATATGGATTTAAATCGAAGAAAAATGGGAATGCCAATGAAGCAAACATGTTGTAGCTTTTGAGTCCTAACCGTCTCCTGTTCGATTTCCTCTCGTTAAGATTTTTGCCACATTGCAGATGGTCACCCCTCAGCTGAGCTTGTGTGTGAGAGTCCTGTGTGTGTGTGTGTGTGTGTGCGCGCCTGCTTTAAAGTGAACCACATCAGTATTCCTCTCACTCAGGAGGAATTAGATGCAAGAACACTGCTTTTTCTGCCAACTTTGATCCCCAGCCCTCCCTTCAGGACCAGTAAGGTGGACAACAAACCACACTCGTTATAGCTCGTTAATGGACCGACTCAGGGCTCAGAGCCTCGGGCGGAGTGCAGTGGGTATCGCATGCTTGGGAGTGTTGTGTATGAGTTTAATATGCATCTCAACCTTATCCATGCTTTAATCAATTCCTGACTGCAATAGAGAATAACTAACAAATTAGCTCACCCCTCGGCTGTGAAATTAAAACGACGGCCAAGTCTAGTTTTAAAATGTGTGCGATAACGAGCCGACCAGTAGACGCTTGAGTTTACAAGAGGGTGCTTGAAAATAATTATACTCGTGAATAATGGTTACTGCCACGTTTACTTTTGTTATTCAGTACAGGCATCGACTTTGAAATGCCATGGAACATTTATCATCATTATTTAAATATCTTCATTTTAATTGAACAGGATATGAACATGTGACATTAAACTTTAATGAACTTCTGTTAAGTCAATGAAGATGAACTTACTTCAGGTCTTCAGAAGCCCTCGCCTGGATCAGGGGAGTTTCAACTGAATGTCCAAACACGGCGCCTTCCAAGCCTAAAAAGAATGTATACTTTTATAATTCATAAAATGAAAGCCAAGCATGTGTTTACTACGGCTTGGTATTCAACCTCAATGCTTGGCACCCACTAAAAAAGGCATCTACAGTGCAGTATAAGAAACTATCCTAGGGCGCTGGTTTGTTCAATCTGGTGTAAAAGCTGTCAATCAAACCTTGGTATGGACCAAATAACCAAGACTGAGACCCGTTCCCTCCTTCAAGCCGGCTCTGGTTTCCTTTGAAATGTTTTTGTTCGGTCATTTCGGACAGATTTCTCTCACAGACGATCATAAGCACATTTACCTGTGACAGTGAACTTTTGTGTCGTCATGATGACCTCCTCCTCATTTGCAGTGAACAGCAGTTGGCCTCCGTCTTTACTTCGTACCTCCAGCCTCTGGCACTGGGCCTCCACGGCCTCGGGTCCTGCAGAGCGGGAGACATCCAGGTTGCCGCTTTTGGGCTTTCACCACTATAACACTAGAAACACTGATTACACCCAAGTGAGGTGCTGGAAGTTTGATAATTAAAACCCATTAAAAGAACAGATTTCCACCTAAAAAGTTTTATAGTCTGCAATGCCAACAATAATGTTCTTTTTGTAAATGGGGCTGTCAAATAAAGGTTGCCTTATGGCTTTGCAAATCAGCTTTGGGAAACTATGTTTGGGCATGTATTAGCAATCTGAAATACTGTGTAGAGTGCTTGCACTGCAAATGAAAGGCTCCTAACAAAGCTGGATCAGCCATGCTTTTACAATGGATGGAGACAAATGATTAATCTGGTGAGGAATATTAATTCTTGTTCTTCAGACTTTGGTGTTTTTCCAGATGTGAATGCAGAAACTTTTAACGTCTGCCTTTCTCGCGCTGCCATTAATCCACGGGCTGCGGCGGCAGCGGCTGGGGAATTTAATTACTCTCGCCAGGTTTCGTCTAATTTCAGTCAAAATGCACTTTCTACAAAAGCAGGCACTAATTTTCTGAGGAAGGTCAAGCGTAACCGAAAAGTGTCATATCACCAGTCTTGTCAAATCAGTCTCAACTCTCAACTTACGTTGGCCGAGATCAATAGCTATTAATGCTAATAAGCAGGTCATATGCTTTCCAGTGGTCATTAATCACGTAAATGACTTTGGTAATTTGGACTGACTGATGGTTGAAATAGATAATAAGAAGAAGAATCCATTGCCCTTTCAATAAGAGCCTCAAAGGTTAGCATCTGGAAGACACTACAGTAATTTCTGAAGGCACAGAGACGATTAAAGAGAATTTAAAGCTTAATTGTTCCGCTGATCTTGATTAAAGTCATTAACAAATTAAGACTGATCAGGCAATTTACAGTCAGAGCTGGATTAATCTAAGATCACTTTGTACATAGAGAGAAAGAGAGAGCTAAAGGCTGAACCAAAGTGTAAAATAATACCCTGACAATTACATGATTATTTCAACATTAAATGAAACAAAGGCAAAAAGAAAAACTACCTTCAGGCCACACCTCCGACAGTGATGTCACAGCAGGTGTTTCCCCATCAGCTGTCGTAGGCAACTTATGGCGACTTATGGTCTCAAATAAAACAGCTTCCAACTGGACCATGTGTACGGCGGCCAAGAGTGGAGACTCACCCACTGTGAGCTGACCGGTCAGCTGGCCGCGGTCATTTCTGGCGTTCAGCGTTACATTCTTTTCTGACCCCAAGACCAACAAGCTATCCTAGGGGAAGCATGGAGAGAGAGAGAGAGACCGAAAGAGGGGGAGAGAGAGAAGAGAAAAGAAATATGTTATATTAGGATCTTTACCTTTAGCAGTAGGGGAAATCTTAGCTAAATTAATTCTCTCATTAATTAAGATCTACTAATCACTACAACTCCACTGTACATACCATACTCTACGGGTCCACATGTGTATGCACACATTGGAGGTATACAGCAGTGTTTGTGTACATTATTCCTGTCTCCCAAAAGAACAGAAGCAACTGTGAAACGTTAGCATTGAGATAACGGTTATGCCACAATGCAATCTACCAGGTTTAATGAACTTTATGCGCTCCTTAAAATAAGCAAATTAATAAATTGCAGCACATTATCTCAAGCTAGTGTGGTGTGCAACTTTGCACAGGTCATTCGGTTGATTTTCATTCCCTCCTTGCTTCTTCCCAATATAAATATGCATCATGAAAGGGCGTTCTCCGGGAAGCACAGCCTCGTGAAGAAATTAGAGTTCTTGATTCGAAGCGTCCCTTTAAAGTTTTCGGTCTTAAAACTGTTTCCCGAGGGCCGTGACTGGGACGCCGGTGCTCTGAACACGTCTTTGAGATCCATAAAAAGGCTTTCTAGCTACTGCGCCCATTGAGGAAGATTAAGTGCAGATCAGAATGAATGCACGTAAATGGAGCCCGTTGTTGTAGGTGCAGTGGGCCCCGTCTGCCTGAAAGATTACCGTGCAGCATGGCACACTACCGAGCAGCATGGCACACTGCTTCGATGAACTGGTCTAAAAAGCAACCTCACATGATGGTACTACCCTTCCTGTGAGCGATAAAGCGCAGACTTTTAAAGCACAGATAAAGAGCTCTGCTCAGGATTTAAACATAATCCTAACCAAATATTTGCATACATATATTTGAATTTTAATTATTTTTGATTGTGCTAGAGGCTAATTTGCATACTGAGCTGAACAAATACATATAATGAATTTTTAAAAAAATCGTTGAGTTGAAAGGCACGCTTATTACATCTTCATTTTCCCCATCCAAATATTGCAGGCGGGCTCTTTCTATGCAGGGCACAGGCTGGTTTGGAACATGTTTTCTGGGATACTTGTATTTTAATGTAATGCTGTAGCAAGCTTGGATGTTCAGGTCTCTGGGGCACTGCTGCAAAAAAGCTTTGATTTTAAACAGACCGTTAAACATGTGGATGGCTTTAGCCCTCATCTGCAGACTGGTGCTTACAATCATGCATCGCCAATGCAAGCAGGGGAGACTCCGTGAGGGAGAAGTTTCACTCCAATGAAAGATATACCTGCATCTGATGCTATTTATAGATCAGTCAGGGTCTCCGGAGACAATAAGGAGAGCCAACAGTCTGAACAGCAGAGATTTGATTAACTGTATCTGGGCACTGTGTTGCCTCAAACAACATCGTTTCTCAGACGGAGGCTGAGTGTCTAATTCAAGGCAAAGATGCAATTTTAAAGTTTCAAATTGTAAATAAATTTATACATTTCGTTTTTTAAAATAAAACAATTGTTACTGCTTATATGTTAGACAGCTGTCAAATATGACCTCGACAGAACCATCACTAATGAGGTGAAAATCAACAACGCAACAAGAAGCCCTTTGCCGGAGAGGGTCAGAAATTCTGGGAGAATTCTGGAGACCCGTATGTGGAGAAGTTGTATCTACTGTACTTTGCTAGCCTTCTGCCTCCATTCATGTCCACCTGCTGTCTGCATCAGTGGCCTTTAACCGCGTGCAATCAAATCAAAGGCCAAACAGGCTGCAGGCTAACACGCTACAGCAGCTGGTTTTGTTTCTCTAAACACATTCAAGGAGAGAGGAGGAAACTAGTCACTGAAATCTGCTGCTGCAGTTCTTTCAACCATGATTGAAATTCACTGGAATAGATGTGTTGTTTTTAGTGTTTTGTAAATTAATATAAGTGGACTGGCCTCTCTGCTAAAAATGTATTTGCTCATCAAATCTAATGTGACCTCTGTAGTCCTCAAGTAGCAGCAGACATTATTATTCTGATGCGTGTATAGAACAGGAGCTATTCTAAGTCAAATCCCAGGACTTGTTTCCTTTGTGTATTCCTTCAGGTGTTTTATTACACCTAGAATTATTGCATCCTGAATAATTTATCTTCGACTAAACTTTAAAAAAATCGAAAGCTTCCAAAAGTAAGAGAAACAGAAAATTGCATCAGCAGCCAGTTTGTTGTAACAAACAATAAACGGCCATTTCACCGGCATTGACAGAAACCAACGTGTTCTGCCAGTGGCTGCAACAGCCACACTTTAGGCTCACAGACAACACATTTGTCTTTGACCAGGTATTACCGAATCCATGTTTGAAGTTTGTGTGACGGACGTGAGAGGAAAGAGATGCCGGCTCAAACAATTAGCTTCACAAACACTGGAAATCATGAACGCAATGTGTGAAATTTCAAGCGTCTGATTTCAAAGATTCCTGTCGCAAACAGAATCACATTTCCAAAGAAAGATGTTTTCAACATATTCCATGGAGTACAATCAAACAGCGACGGCAGATGTTTTCGACGGCAGAATAGTGAGGCAATTTAAATGCGGCCGCCGCGAGGAATTGTGTGATGTCATTATCTCCTTTCCTTTGGTAAAAGGAGGATCCAGTGTTCCCTATGGTAAAAACGATAAGAAAGAAACCATTGAAGCACATTTCTTTAGCATTCACAGAATTCAAACAGCTTTCTGATCATTTCACTCAGGAGCCTTCCTCAGCAAAAAAGAAAAAGACCATTCGACCCTAGCCATGTTCACACATATTAAAACAATTGTACTTTTGAGTGTCTGTAGTCCAAGTTACACTTGGACCTTCAAGCAGGAGTGCCCCGCAAGGTCCACAATGTCAGATGTGAAAGCAACAATGGGGCTCTAATTTTCAAGTCTTTTCACCTGCCAGAGTCGCATTGTTACCAAATCAGAAGTCTGGAGAGGCGGTTGTGACCGCCTGGGTTCTTACACTGCAGAGCACAGCAGGCAGGCAAAGTGAAGCATCAACACTAATATACGGTTCTGGAGTCTGCACTTTGCCACCACAATGTGAAAGGTACAGAGTGAGATACATTATATAACCCGGTATACAGTCTGTATAATGGTAAGGCTGGGTGACATAGATTGTATTTCATTCATTTTAGTTATTGTGCAGTAAAATCGTGTTATGACAACATTAAAAACACTATAATTCTCAAAGTTAAAACTGTACTAACTGACTTTTTAACCACTTGGTGCAGACCAATATTTACTTTCATTTTAAGTCTTTCAGTTTCCTCCAACTCCCAAGGGAATGAGATGGCTCTTTACCTGCTAAATGCTCAATTATGTTCACCGGCGAGTCGAACTGTCCATCTGCTGTTCAGTGCTCGGTATGCAGCATACATTTTGTAGAGTTTATTTGCTGGTGTTGCCAACTAAGCTGAAGAAGACGGTGAATCAAAGCAGTAAAGTAATGTGCTGTAAAACTTAAACGATTAGCTGCATGATGCTAAAGTAGAGTCGAGGAAAACCGCAGGGTTGGGTGCAAAATGCAAAAATGATCTGTAATACACAATATGACTGCAAATGGCTTATAAAAGTGTTTGCACAGCTCCCGAAAACCTATTTGCTGTACTGAATGCATTTCTTTGTTTTGTTTTTACTTGGCAGGGATTGCATCCAACGTAAAGCGCTTGTGCAAAGTTACCAGCTCTCATTTCACAAAATGCTACCGAGAGCGCTGATTCAAGGGGCTGCTTCGCCTGTTATTTGCTGCCAGCTATCAAAGTTCCTGCCAACAACACTGAGGGAGTTATTTCCACTTGGTATTCACAGATTATGGCTTCAGTCACTGCAGAAGATTCAAAGCACTGATTGATCCAGGAGAAGTCAAACTAAAGCTACTTTGAGTTCAGCCTCGACAGCAGCTTGGACTCCGTGAACATATAAAGAAATAATAATAAAATACTATATTTAACTTCTGGGGTGTACTACGGAGTTCACTGCCGTTTGTGGTAATGACTTATTGATCAGAGGTGGTTATCTGACTGGACAACAGCACTGTGCACTGTGGTGTAAACTCATTGGATAACCATAATCCCCGCTCTCGCAGTGCTTGACATATTTTCTCAGGTAAGAAATATCGAGTGACCCACAGAGATTTCTGTCCCGCAAATATCTCTGGTGCCGGTAGATAAGGGGGCCACTGCACAGCCCGTCTGTAAAACAAGACAGTAAAAATGTCTGCAGCTGGTATTGCACCGGAGAATGAAATATTGGCTTTGTCCAATGTTCGGCTTGGGCCTTGAGGTGTTTGCTATTGCTAAGCACATGACTGTTGTATTTAAAAAAAAAATCAACATTTAGCTCCAACTACAAGATCAAAGAGCACGAGGGGGCAATTTCAAGTTGTTTCTCAATCTGCTGTGGCAAATTGTACCAACTATCGAGTCACTTCCTCCATTGACGTCCCTCAAAAATCAAATTTACACGGAACCACAGCTTCCAGTGCTTGAAATTGCTTTCTGCAGCATGCCTAATCACTGAAAAAGAGGATGATCCAACTGAGCGTCTGTGATTCGTGTGGGAGAAGAACATTTGGATCAACTTCGCACTGGAGCCGTGTTGGTTAATCTACTGAACATCAAAGAGGAGGAGAGGGAGGGAGGAAGTGGAAGAGGGGAATTTATCGTGTGGGTTTGATTGGAAATCCAGCAGGGGGGACTCTGGTCCCTCTGTAATCATCTGTAATCTCCTGTAGGTTTGTATGTGGCCTGAGAGGAGCTGAGAGGCAGCCTATTACCCATCTCCTGCTGATGGGAGGCCCTGATAGTGCACTGTTGGAGGATGACAGGAAATGAGGAGGAGGAGGAGGAGAGGAGCACAGGACAGAGAGAGTAAGAGTGTAATCTCTCCTATCCAAGCACAAATATAAGGCAACATCAAAGTAACGTCAAGTCAGAGCTCCGAGGGAAGCTTCCCTTTGTTTCAAATGAATTGATCATAACTTCAACATTGTGAGATCAATACCTTGTCTGCAGCTTTGGAGAGATCTTTCCATGCGAGAGATTTTCACATGCCTTTCAGCCGATGGTAGTTAATCCTTGTTTATCAGTGCAGCAAAGTATTAACCTACAGGCAAGTTTCAGTTGTTGAGAGGTGCAAAGGAGTCAACTTACCCTCCTGGACTGGATCTCATTCATGTAGAGAGGCAGGAGAAACTCAGAGATTCCCTCCAGGCGGATCCCATCCTGCTTCAACTGAAGGTTTCCCATTCCATCCTGCAACATGATCATGATCGTCAGTGTTGTGATGATTTTCCCAAATTGATTTTAAAAGGGTTACAGCATTGAATCCCGCCGCTGCTGAACTGCATTAGGAAGAGCAGCAGCGGCAGCATGCCAGACGGGGCTGGTAGACAGGCAGCAGCGTTGAGTGACAGGCAAGAAGTAGGACATGACATCGAGGTGACACCGCCACAGACACTCGGTGGTGTCGGGGTGACAGGCTGCATGCAGTGGGAGGCTGAGTGAGGAGAACCCGGCCAATGTGGCAGGGAATGTTGAGAATATTCACGGAAATGACAAAAGAATCTGATTCGTGCTCATGCAGATCTACGTTAGCCGATTGTGGAAACAGAGTTTTATAATGACATTGGCGAGAAGACTGTATTTAACATGGATTGATCATGTCTGCCTGATAAGGTTAGCATCGGCCCTGTTAGCTACCTGGTGGATCAAATCGTTGCATTTTTCATTTAGCCACTTTGTATGTACGCTCACTGCTTTTAGAGTGCTTGTGAAATAAATAAATGAACACATATTTACGTATGTATGTATAGGTAGATAACAGGGTTTAGAGTAGTTCAGTGGCAATATCTAGGTTCTTTTGTAGAAAAACATTTTTTTAAATACATTTCTGAAAGTTGTGAATTGATTTAGAATCTTAGAAGATAAAAAATCTTCATTCTTACAGGAATCATTTTGCCCCCCCACCCCTATTGTAGATAGATAGTAGTAGACAAAGTTATACCTTGCCACACCACAATGAGCAAAGTAAAGTTTGACAGCAGCTTTGTTAGGATCTGAGTGAACAGATGGGCCCCGTGGGATGTGTTGAAAGAGTCCATAGTGCTAGCTGCACAAATGGATTGAGATCGTAAATTATAGAGGCGGAGTAGAGTGAAGAGAAACTCCATCATACATGGTAGAGAGCCAGGATTGGGGACAGAGGGGAGGACAAAGTCAGAAGAGCCGAGGAGGTGGGTGGGGAGAGTGGAGTTATTTGTACTCTATGTCAGCAGCCAGACGTTACAGTCCCTCCTGTGCTGAAGTGGAGGCGATGTGGTGGGTGTGCCGAGTTCAGCACACGCTGCAGTCAGCCAGACGAGTAGGAGGGAGGCGGGACAAACGGGAGGGCTTTACAACAGTCCGGTCGGGACGTGCCGAAGGCCTGAGGATGAGTTCCTCAGCATCAGTGAAATTAAATGAACAAATGAAGTCACCCTGTTGTCCTCAACAAGCAGACAGAGGATGTTTTGTGAATGACGTGGATCTGCCTCATCACATCTGAGCTTTACAAGGCTTCTGTATGCTACGTTTTAATGCAGTGCAGAGGAGGCGAGGTGTCAAAGATGGTGCAAATACTTAACACTTAGTCCAGTCAAAACTCAACACACCATGTGACTTGACTAAGTGAAGTCAAGAACGAATGAGTCACAGATCCAGGGGCACTTGTGAAATGTTTTCTGTCCACAAAAACAATAACTGGTAATGGATGGAACGTGTTTGGTTTTTGAGAGTGTACACAACAAGGCTGTAAAGGCGGAATAGTCAGCATGATGACGTTTTATAGTCTCATTTAGCCATTTGTTAGTGTTTTAAGTCACTTAATTCATTCATAAGAGGGGTATCTACCGACGTGTTTTATGTTGTTGAACAATGTTTAGGTCTGTTAAGCTTGTGGTAACCACAGACCATATTTCAGGCATCTCACAAAAAAGTGTGTGATTTAAAACACTTTTAAACAGAAAAGATCTGTTTACAAGATATGAGGGGTACTACTGAGTCTGCAACAACAGTTGTGTAATGTCTTTAGTGGGCTCTCTAAAGTCAAAGTAAATAACCCTGGAGACTACTGCGCATTAGTGTTAATATTGGATTTCATTTTGAAGTAAATGCCAGCGGTGGTGCATTAGTGGCCACTCTGCCAACAGTTTGTTCACATGGCTGTAGTCATTTTCACCAAGTGTCAGATATCGGCGTGAACATTTTTTCCCCCCACTCGGCTGCTCGGAATTGCGGTTTAAACTACATGGTGTGAACGCAATTTATCAACCATCTTCTTCACAAGAATAGCATTTACCTACAAGATGAAAGATCTCGTAGCTAACTGTTGAGCTTTGGGAGAAACTTTGTTGTTAACACCGACGCCTTTGGACAGACGGTTTTGTGCGAGATGTCTCCAGATGGGTGATCATACACACCCCTAGCCAAAAAATGGTGAGATGGTGACATTTGGTGTTGTCAAGCAGCTTTTTCAGAACAGTGTTACAATCGTGACGACTTTAAAACTAGGAAACGATGCTCAGATTCCAGGACATACAAGTATGACCTATCATCCCAACAGGACGGGGTGTAGTGGCACCTCTTTTCTTATTGAGCTGCCGGAGTCCTGAGAGATGGGGAGCAGCGAAGTACATTTTCTGGAACGACACCAACAGCACTGATAAGGTCTTTTACTTCATGACACAGATGGATGGGAGGCGAAGGAGTAGGGGAGTGATGGCAGTAGTCAGGGGACGCATCAGTCACAAAGGGAGGATGCTGCCACCCCTAGTATCTTGAAGAAATGCTAAATTGTTTTTGCATTGTCTCTGGAAATGTCACAGGAGCTCGCAGCATCTGCCCGTTTGGTTTTCGTTTGAGATTTACACATTCTGTGTCAGCCGGTCTTTGCTGCCAAGTCTTTTCTAATTATTTATCAAATCAACATGGGACAAAGCACACATCGTGAGATATGGTGCCTGTAACACATTTCAAATGGGTCTACGTGAATAAATTAGGCTTTGGATTAAGGTCAAAACAGAGAAATAAAAGGAAAAACGTATACTGGTTCAACACACAGTAAAATTATGAATTCATTATTGTTAGTTGACAAACTTTTCGACAAACTACGGAAAGTATTCAGACCCCTTTAAATTTTTAACTCTTTGTTTCATTGCAGCCATTTGCTAAAATCAAAAAAAGTTCATTTTATTTCTCATTAATGTACACACAGCACCCCATCTTGACAGAAAAAAACAGAACATGGTCATAAGTATTCAGACCCTTTGCTGTGACACTCATATTTAACTCACATGCTGTCCATTTATTCTGATCCTCCTTGAGATGGTTCTACTCCTTCATTGGAGTCCAGCTGTGTTTAATTAAACTGATTGGACTTGATTAGGAAAGGCACACACCTGTCTATATAAGACCTTACAGCTCACAGTGCATGTCAGAGCAAATGAGAATCATGAGGTCGAAGGAACTGCCCAAGGAGCTCAGAGACAGAATTGTGGCAAGGCACAGATCTGGCCAAGGTTACAAAAGAATTTCTGCAGCACTCAAGGTTCCTAAGAGCACAGTGGCCTCCATAATCCTTAAATGGAAGAAGTTTGGGACGACCAGAACTCTTCCTAGACCTGGCCGTCCAGCCAAACTGAGCAATCGTGGAAGAAGAGCCTTGGTGAGAGAGGTAAAGAAGAACCCAAAGATCACTGTGGCTGAGCTCCAGAGATGCAGTAGGGAGATGGGAGAAAGTTCCACAAAGTCAACTATCACTGCAGCCCTCCACCAGTCGGGGCTTTATGGCAGAGTGGCCCGACGGAAGCCTCTCCTCAGTGCAAGACATATGAAAGCCCGCATAGCCCGCACAGACTATGAGAAATAAGATTCTCTGGTCTGATGAGACAAAGATTGAACTTTTTGGCGTCAATTCTAAGCGGTATGTGTGGAGAAAACCAGGCACTGCTCATCACCTGCCCAATACAATCCCAACAGTGAAGCATGGTGGTGGCAGCATCATGCTATGGGGGTGTTTTTCAGCTGCAGGGACAGGACGACTGGTTGCAATTGAAGGAAAGATGAATGTGGCCAAGTACAGAGATATCCTGGAAGAAAACCTCTTCCAGAGTGCTCTGGACCTCAGACTGGGCCGAAGGTTCACCTTCCAACAAGACAATGACCCTAAGCACACAGCTAAAATAACAAAGGAGTGGCTTCGGAACAACTCTGTGACCATTCTTGACTGGCCCAGCCAGAGCCCTGACCTAAACCCAATTGAGCATCTCTGGAGAGACCTGAAAATGGCTGTCCACCAACGTTCACCATCCAACCTGACGGAACTGGAGAGGATCTGCAAGGAAGAATGGCAGAGGATCCCCAAATCCAGGTGTGAAAAGGTTGCTGCATCATTCCCAAGAAGACTCATGGCTGTACTAGCTCAAAAGGGTGCTTCTACTCAATACTGAGCAAAGGGTCTGAATACTTATGACCATGTGATATTTCAGTTTTTCTTTTTTAATAAATTTGCAAAAATTTCTACATTTCTGTTTTTTTCTGTCAAGATGGGGTGCTGTGTGTACATTAATGAGAAATAAAATGAACTTTTTTGATTTTAGCAAATGGCTGCAATGAAGCAAAGAGTTAAAAATTTAAAGGGGTCTGAATACTTTCCGTACCCACTGTATATTGGGTACAGCTTGCACAACTGTAGTATCACAACAAACAGCAGCTACTATGAAGCCCATTCACTCATGAATATGTTGCATACGCGCTGTACTCACCACTGAGAAGTTCATGACCTTTATGATCCAGACGGTGAGGGCCACGTTAACTATCATAGTGACCAAGAGCAGCAGCAGAAAGAAGTAGAGGCATCTTTTCCTCCAGCCGTACAGACCCACTGGGTACACGGCGTCACAGCCCGGTCGCTGGAGATGCAGGGATTGGGACGCGAGGATGAACTGCTCCTGGGTAATCTGGAAAACAAACAGAGAGCAGCTTTCCCGTTAGCCGCTTTCAAGAATATATTCACTCCGAAGCAATCGCATATCGTTAGTGGTTATTACCATGCAAGCACCACTAAAAATGACTCTGGGCTGAGGCATGGCTGGTTAATCTACAATTATTTTAGAAAAAGTGGTGCTACTATGAAGAATTAACAGTGAGAGCAATGCATATATGCAAGCTAAGGTGAAACATCCAAGCTTGGCAATTAAATGGAGTGATAAGGGGATATTTCGATCTGTAACACACTGGGAACTGATTTATGACATTTTCTAATGAGGGTTGCAGCTTCATTTTGTTTGCAACTTTTGTAATGACATGCCCTGGAACACCGGCCCTACACACTTTTAGAAATTGAACCAGGAGCAGTGTAATTTATCAAACTCTGTGCCGAACAGAAAGTGGCATTTAGGTGACTTTATTTTATTAAAAGAGAGAGCAGAGTGCTTACTCTGGAAAAAAAACATGGTGGTGTGTTTATTTCTGTTGGAGAGGGGGAATCATCAGTCAAGATTCATCGATTACAAGTTAGCTATCAGTTGAGGGATAGACTGGCCCAGAAGTAGAAAATACATTTACAATTCTTTGTTAAGTCAATACAAGAAATCTGCAGGCAAACCTAGAAACTAATGAACTAATTGTAGCAATTAATATAGTTTACAGTCCTGAAAAGCAAAGCCCTTGACATTTCCATGACATGTCCATGACTTAAGAAAAGGACATCTCTAAAGTCAAGGTCTTCATGTAGGACATTTGACAGAACGAGCAAATCACAGGCTGCTGCTCTGCCACTCAGTAGGAATGAAAACAGGAGGTGGATTATGGGAAAAGAGGGTCAATTTGGTGCCAGAGAAATGTTCTCCACTCCGGCTGAGTAACTAAGTGCCTGCCAGCCACTGGGAAGCTGCTACATGCGAGCTCTGATCTGAGATCAGAGAGGATGATGTCTGTCAAGTGCGGTCATCCAGGCGAGGGCGAGCAGGAGCTGTTCTCCAGCTGATCGTGACCGCGGGCTGACAGTGTGAAACTCCCCCATCAGAGGCTGCGAGGCTGGTTGAGCCCTCAACTGTTCTGCCTGCCTGCCTGCCCCCCCCCCTCCCTTTACAGATAATTAAAAGAGCAAAGCACTTGCTGGTACAAACCAAGTTCAAATGTCCCGCAGCAGCAGCTTTATTATGTCAAAGATTTTTTTGAAAAGTTCCTCGTACTTCCAAAGAGCAACTATATATATTCAACTTGTCAGTATAAAACAAGTTAATTACATGAAACACATTGAAATGTTGACACACCTGCGCACAGTTATCCCCAGTGAGACCCCAGCAGTGTAATATGTGCATTACTTAGTCAGAATCCAGGCCCCACGTGCTTCATCCACACTCCGCATGTCATTAGCATAGGGCTCTGATGGCAGGTATCATTAGATAGTGTGTGTCGCCGACAGCTCTCATTAACTGTGGCAGAACAAGCCAACATTATTTAGCTCGGCAAGTTAAATACTCTTTTCCAAGAGGAACTAAATGACTTGACCCAGGTTTAAATAGAGGCAGAAACTGTACCCTGTGCTCCTGTTCACTCCACCAGTTCAGATATAAACTGCACTTCCCTTGCTTACAGGAAGAGCAATGCTGCAGAAAGTGTGTTTTAACAACCAGGACACCGAATCTCAGCCTGTGATGGAACAGATTATTGTTGCAATAAAGCAATATCCCTTACAAGGGTGAGCAGCTAATGAATTTTTGGTGATTACAGATCGCCAGACATTGGATTTGGTTTTGTAAAACAAGGCACAAGTGAGCTGCATGTGGTGTATCAGCTGGTAAACAGCAGGGGCCAGAAATAGGCATATGTCCTTCAGGCTGTCCAGATGACTTCATCGTTTAGTCCAACCAACAGTACAAAACTTAAAACAATATTAATTACTTTAATGTTAAAAGTAGCAAATTCTGTGAGAAGCCGGAATCGCCCACTTTTTCCATTTTTGCTTGAAAATGCCAGTCAATTATCACATTAGATGTCAATTAATGTTGTGTTGATTAACTATTGTGTGTCTGTGCACTGAAGCCTATATTTCCAAATCTTTCCCATAATTGACACAGTTCCTTGGAAGGACATGAACGATTGGACAAACTCTAAACCAGAACACCACCAACAGAGGATAATGACCTTCAAACATGGCAGCCTCCACTACCTTACAACTTAATGCACTCTTTAAGTGACTGTTTCCTTGGATGAACAATCATGGTCATTTCTGCCAGCGGTGGCAGATGTCTCACAAATGGATGTTGTGACTTTGCAGCAAATACAAATGACCCATGTCGCTGGCCTAGAAATGTCAATGATTCCAATCTAAGCAGTGATACAGCTGAGGGACAAGAGCGTGATGAGAAGCTCTTACACAAAGGCTGAATACAAACTCTCAATGCAGTGTCACAGATTACTTCTTTTTGTTTTACAACCACAACTTTACCTCCAGTGAAACCGTACACTAAGTACAAATAATCATCGAGACACTAAACTCCTCACACTGAACTTGAGTCTAAGAGACTCGGAACGCAAAACGCATTTAAATAACACAGACAATTAAGAAAATGTATCTTTTAGCCTACAGTCATTGCCCCTGCTGGACAGATTCAGTCTATTTTCAATCCACTGTTGCTAGGAGAAACATCAGCACTTGTAATTTCTATGGCAACCTACTGTTCCCAACACTAGTGGATCCTGTGTGATTTCTTTGCAAGACTTTTAATGCATATATTACCCCGGTGGAGTCATGCCTCCTAAAGCTTGGCTATTCACAGAGCAAATGGAGGAGTGCATAGCGGCTGGCATTTTGTCAATCCGTCATCTCAGCATGCCGGTCACAGCGGACTCTCACAAACAAGCTGGACTGGACTTATCAAGATGTCTAACTGCAGCGGGTGTGAGAAACAACTTTGACTTTTCAGAAACAAAATATTGATTACAAAGCGAGCCGTGCAGGCACGTCACACCATGTTGAAATGACTCCCATTTATCAGTTCATGTAAGCTTTAGTCGGTCTGACAACTACCACTTCATATGAAAAAGCATTGTTACGCGACTGAAGAACTTGTGTTTACTGAGTATGACCACTCCAAAATATGTTGCCCTTTGACTGTAGTAACTACAGAAACAGTCCTGATAATAATTAGGAAATTGGAGCAGTGGTCAGTCAATGCAGGGACAGATGGACACTTTCCGTTTGCAGCTATGATGCAACTGTCTGGGGCAGGACAACAAATAAGCATTACCCCACCTTCATTTACTGTTAAAACAATTATCAATAAACTACCTGAATCCCATATAGTTACAACAACTAATGAGACCTCAACAACCGAACTGCTCACAACTCATGGAGCAAAAAAGGAAACTGCACTCCTGAACACTGGGGCCGTTGAGTCCATCGCCCTGTTTCCTGCATCTGTGATGCCTGCTGCCAACTGCACATGCCCCATTGTATGTCCTCATACATATTGCTAATACAATTCAGAAGTGGTTTTGTGAGATCAGGTGGAATTTAACACAATTTGATACTAAATAATGAATCTGATTTTTTTTTACATTGCCTTTCTAGAGCCACTAAATACAATTAACAGCAATGTTTTCCGACTATATTTTAAGACATTACTGATTAATAATGTGTATTTAATCTGTTGCTTTTCTTCTTAAAACACGGTTCTGTATCTTGCAACAAACTATCTTTTAGGACTTTTCAGGACGGAATTGAGCTGCATGAAAGCAAAGGGCATGCTGCTCCTTATTAAGTAAAACATGTTCATGTACTTGGTTAATTTTGTCAAAGACAAGTGATTCAAAATGAGTGTTTTGCGCCCAGTGGCAGGAAAACAACAAATTAAGCTATACCGTTGCCAACAACCACATGAATGTGCGCACAATTAGAAGTCTGTAACTAAGAATGGTTCAACGCTCAAACGTCAAATCACAAAAGGTCTAAAGGCTACTTTTCTCTGCACTCAGGGAACCAAGATGAGAAAAACATTCCCAGTCCAACAATTACCGAGTTCACAGTCCTCATCCAAAAAGGCAAAGTCTAGACAGCTATGTAGTGGTATAGTATGCTCAAGACAAATGTCAACAGATTATCACAAACAGATGCGTCTGAAATCTTCTCAAAGCTACGGATGGTTTACCACCTGGGGGTGGGTGGAGGGGGGGGGGGGGGTCCTCAGAGATTTGACTACAGACATTACAGCTGGATCCAGCCAAAGCCAGCAATTACCCAGCAGCCCCCTACCCACTGCCAGTGAGCCTCATCTTCACGAATTAGCGTAGAGGGTGATATTCTACATGCTGTTTTGATCAAACAGTGACGTGCTGCGGAGGCAGCAAAATGCAGCCGAGAATCCCCTAATGAAAGAAAATGAGACGTTATTAATGCGTGATGGTGTTAATCAGCAAATCGGCTGGCGCTCTCACTCAGCGGTGCCACAGGAGTCCCACGGGGCCGCCTCAGCTGGAGGAAAGAAAACATTTGAGATGCACTAATGACTGCAAAGCCCGTGCTCATCCATCCTGCGTATGATCACTGCCCGATCGCTGAGGCTGCAGCAGGGAAAAGGGATGGAGGCAATAACGCTACAAGTCTGTCATACAGTATCAAAGCACCTATTCATTCTGGTTGTGCTGGCTTTTTTTAGTTTGATAGAAAGCCCAATCAAAGAGACGGAGAAGGCCCGTATGCAGGACTGTAACTTGGAAAACCAATTACACTTCTCAAATGTGCTGGTCAAAGCATTGATGTACCCATTTCACCATTTTGTTGAGACAATCAAGCATGCGAGTGAGGGTGCTGCTGTCAATAGTCGCTCCACTTAGATGTGAAATCCAATTGTTTTGTGGCTCCATCGTCTATGGTGGAGTTACAATAGCAGCCATCAATGGCTTCTTCTTCTTCTGCAGTGTGGCTGCCCTTTATGGATGGGTGGCAGAAACACTTCCTTTGGCAGAAAGCAACAAAAGGTAAGCCCACAAGCAAGCACCAGACCGGCAGGGATCAAAGATCTCCGATGAATCCGGCGCACAAGGAAAGGTCGCAGCTGTTCAATCAGAACATGGAGCCAACAAGACTGAACATCACAGACTGTCGGCAGAATTTCTTTTTGCCGTTACATGCTTTTGATGACACTTTCACAACAAAAAAAAAAAAAAAAAGTGGTGTTTGGCAACACAGAAGCGTGCAACAAAACATCCCTGGCATCTCCGGCCTTTGCGTCATTGATTAACGACGACAGCTGGTTTTGCTAAGTCTCTAAATGTTTGCAGCTCCTTCCTCAGTATTGATGATGGCTATGGCAGAGGAAGAAGACGGCAAACTGCTGATGTCAACAGACAGACACTTCTCCCAGAGTGCACTAGATTTCCTTGCTAATCCCTAGCAAATCCCTGGGGAGAGCAACAGGGCCGAGTTTGGACATCACCCCCATGGGCTTCATTTGCATTCATCAGATGAAGTGCCAAACTGAGCAGAGCATCATCGACAAAAATAATAATACCACAAAGCCATAATAATACCATCTTTACAAAGCCCCCCCTCCGTTCTAATTACAGAAGATAGTGGAACCTTCCAGTGATTCGAAGAAGAAAAATAAAAGCACAAACATGACAAATTAGCTGAGAGACAAAACTTGCAGACTTGTCACCAAAGTGGGAAGTGCTGGATCAGCTCAGAGTCAAGAGTGAGCAGTGAGCTATTTCTTGACCGATAAGCGTGACTTGTGCCCAGAGCTGTGTGTGCGCTCGCTATAGCTCACGCGTGCGCATGCATGTGGCGGGCCAATAGACTGGACTCGGGTGCACAGCCGAACAGTAGCTCTGCTGTGTAGGGTTCCCGACACCGAGCTGCTTTTTTTTTTTTTTTTTTTTTTTTGCACTGCAGCACGGAGACGAGATGCACACATACTGTACCCAGAGGTTATACTGCCTCCTCTGCTAGAGTGGAATGATAATGAGGAAAGCATGCAGGCAGAATATTCATAGGCTGTCACATTACGGGGAGAAGGCACAGAATAACAGGTGTACGTATCAAGAGGGAGATACGCGAAGAGACCACTGAAAGACAGTTTACGTTCATCTTTAATTAGCAGGCGTTTCCACGGAATAATTACATGAGTGGGTGCACCTGTTGCAGAGAGGACTCGTGACGAAACTTGAGATTGGACTTGCTGAATAAAACAACAACGTTAACTTCCCTGCTGCACGCGATGTGAACTGTCAAAATGATATCAAACGTGCACTTTAAAAAAAAAAAAACCTTTGTTAGCTTACCTTAAGCGTCTCTATGTCGAGAGTAGCCGACTGCTCCATGTTTCAGTCTCATTTGTCCCACTTACATATTTCCACAAAGTTGAAACAAAGCTGACCGCAAGAAATTCAGCCTCCGGTGCGCGAGCTATAGTTGCAATTCCTCACTCCCCATTCAGTTAAAAAAATACATTTATCCAAAGATTTAAACAAGTCTGAATTGTTGTTTTTTTTTTTATCTACACACCAACCGTACTTTGTAGATATTTCTGAGCCGTTTAATGGACCGTAACTACTGACCCGAGGAAGCTACTAATTAACACGCGCAGGTACGGGGTGCTTCCGTCCGCTGCTCTCTTTGCGTTTAGGGAGCTGTGGAGACGATTCGCTCTTCTTCGAAACTGAACAACCATCAAGTCAGACAGAGTTAGCAGTGGTACTTCCGGTACTTTAAAAAATAAAGATCATGAAGGCGAGCATACGCGTGCATCGATGTAATATCACTTTTTTTGAGATGTTATTGATCTGCATACCCACACAGGTGTTTCCATTAAGTCCTGGCTTAGTAGACCTCCACTCGGGTTGAAGGAGGATGGAGCTGCACTGTATATCAGAGAATGAAATATTGAGTAAAAGTACAACTGAAGACACCCTATTACATTGTACAAGTGAAAGTACTATCATGAACATTTTACAAGAGTAAAAGTACAGCCTAGTAACAAGATGTACTCAGTCAGTGTTGTATTATGATATCACTGGATCATCAGAATGAATAGATTGATATTAGAGGTGTTTTAACTTTGTAGTTGATTTTGAACTATTTTTTTTACTGCTTCAAATTACTTCAAGTTAACCCTGATCAGTTAAAATTATACAGTTTTACACAAAAAAGTACCTCAGGAATATGTCGCAGTTTTTTGGGGTAATATACTGCGGTGTATCATAATTTACAACATCCTTGAAACTGTTTTTAAGTACAGCACTTGGGTAGATGTACTTGTTAACTTTCCACCACTGGTAATAAACCATTTTCACAGTTAGTTAAACAGAATGAATAAACACTTTTAATACAAGACTATAACCAACATGTCAACTTGAAAAAGAACACATAGTTATGGCAGTATCATCTCTGGTAGGCTAATGGGTTTTTGTTTTGTTGTGGTCATACACTGTGGTAGGCTATGCATTTCATTCTGAAAACTGGGTATTGCTCAATTTCCTGTTTTATCATAGTGAACTCTCGCTGACTTGACACAATTTGAATCTCATTTAGGTGAGAACGCATTGGTTAATTTAAATATTTAAAACGAGATTATGCGGCCAGAATTCAGCTGCAACAGAGGTTTATCAGAGGGAAACTTTATCTGACTGATACTCGTTTACTTGGCTTTTGGAAGCCATAACTAGGTTCTTTTGACCATCATTAGACGAAAATAAAGGTCTTCCTTTTTGACTTAAACTACCACCAAGAGAAAGGGGTTATTAATATTGTAATGCTTTTCTTCCAAAAGCTCATACAGTAGAATTGATGGTAAAAAAAAGGTTTATTCTGCCGCTCCATCTGTTCCCATTCACTGGCATTTGATGCACCCTGCAGGAGACATGCTGACACTGCAATAAGAGTAAATTATGTACTATATCAAAAACATAAACTGATGTAACAGCATGTCCAAGGCTTCATTCATTAATTTATTTATTGAGATAATAAGGTTAATGTGCGGCATGTAAATATTGTTTTTTGTACCGGAAAAAATATATATATAAATGGAAGAATAGAAAGTGGGGAAAAAAGACGGGGAAATTATTTTGATACATTTAGTAGTTTATTAATAGGCTATAAATGATAATACATAGGCCCTATAGCTAGATAAAATGTAATATTTTCGCTTATGAATATCACGGATATGTATATAAACCAGACAAGTTGGTTATCTTTTCAACGTTATCCACACATGTTCATTGCAGTGTCCTCAGAAATACAGTAGAGGACAGCAGAGTTACAGGCTGGCTTGTTTTCAGACAAACGTAATCAACCCTGAGCGCAAACTCTGAACTAGGATTAATAATCAACTATCGACACATTTATTCATCATCGCAAGGATGTCAGACGCAAAGCAAATCATGGCACAGAAAAGGTAGAAAACTACATTTAATCAGCGTTAAGCCTTTTTTTTTTTATTATGTCTTAATTTGAGTTCTTAGGAAATAAAAATGCCCATTTATTTTTATAATAATCCGGCATAATCACCGCTGGCGACACCCATATTTATATGTTGAGTAGACAGTAACTAAATATCGAGATATTAATCGTTGATACAACAGCCTGGTGATGATCAATCATATTTTTGATCGCAGATTGACAGGATTTGCATGATCAGCCATCTAGCTGTTTGTTCTGCCTGCGATGATGCAGATGTTATGGTTGCATCATTTTGATATTTCACATTATCTCTTGTGTGTTCTCGCAGTGCTAAAATTGCAGCTGGAGCTGTTGTGTGTGTTGAAAGCGAAATAAGAGGAGATGTAACCATAGGTGAGAGTTTGCTTTTAACCTCACCATAAGCGCCATTTTCCTCATTGTTTATCCAGCAGCTGTACATGCTCCAATAAGTCAAGAGCTTTTTTATTTTTTATTTTACAGGTGCTAGAACAGTTGTCCACCCCAAAGCACGGATCATAGCAGAGGCGGGGCCTATTATCATTGGAGAGGGTAATCTGATAGAGGAGCAGGCACTTATTATTAACAGGTACATTGTGTATTACAACATACATTCACTATTTTAGTCATTACAGTTTTAACTTATCTTATTTGATCTGTGTTTTGTCTATAGTTATCCGGAGAATATCATGCCAGACACAGAGGGAATGGAGCCAAAAACCATGACAATTGGGACCAATAATGTGTTTGAAGTTGGATGTGGTATCCTTTGCATTGCAGATTACAATATGCATGAGTCAGACTGACAAATTGGCAGATATTAGCGAATTGTATATTTAGGGCCTATTTGAGTTTATGTCGGTTGGGAAGTAAGAAGAATTAATTTGCAGAAATAACAAAGATATATTTAAGGTAATTTAGAAAGAGTTTTGCCAATATATAGTTTATCCACCAGAGAGCACTGTCAAGTTTATTTCAGCCGTGAAATGTCCCTCACAATCTTGGTCACTATTAGTACTATAGTAGACATCTACTGCAATGGACAACAGGGAATGTTCTGTGGGGGTGTAGATAGACTTGATAGATTGTTAATTGGGACCAAGATATATCAATACTGCTATTACTACTACTAGTTTAAATGACCCTTGTAAATTATGATGTGTTGATAGAAAAAATGAATAGTACCCACTGTATAAATTGGGCTATAGTTTACTAGTAACTGTTTTAAAATACTAATTCATAGGTTTAAATCCTTAATGATTCTTCCACAGTCTCACAAGCTTTGAAAATTGGGGACAACAATGTGATTGAGTCTAAATGTAAGTATAATGTAATCACTAACTATAGAGTGTGCACCCTGAAAAGAATCATGGTATATCTAATTTGATATCTCTGTATCAATATATTTATATTTATTATGATAAAGTAGGTTTTCTGGATACCATAACCAGACAAGAATGTTTAAATGTTTAAAAAACTACAATATTGTCATAAAGAAAATTTGTAACATTGCACACAATGATCTAAATGACCCAGAGATATTAATATCTCTGCTAATATTAAATCCCAGCTGATCTTGGGAGAAACGTGATCCTGACCAGTGGCTGTATCATCGGTGCGTGCTGCCAGGTCAACACGTGTGAGGTCGTGCCGGAGAACACGGTTGTGTACGGTTCAAACTGCATCCGCCGTGTGCAGAGTGAAAAGCCACAGGTTAAGTCTCCGTCAGTGCTCGTTTATGCCTGCGAGTCACAAAGTTGCTTTGGCTTGTGTGCAGATTCGTATAAGGATGTTTTTTTTAAATATATATATCTTACAGTCTCAGACTCTGCAGCTCGACTTCCTCATGAAGATTCTGCCCAACTATCACCACCTGAAGAAGACGGTCAAAGGAAACAGCACACCTGTGAGGAACTAAGATGCAGCTGGATCCAGAGGGACTGTAGCCTATTTCCTCCAACCCAATCTGGCATCTGATGCCACACGCTGACTCAATTCCCTCAAATTTCACGTGTCTTTCACTTTCATGTTGTTTTTTAATGTCTAGTAGAATACCTCTGCCACCGAAAATGACCATCACACTTTCTATATTTCTTCCTGCATATGAGGAATGACATTATTCTTCAACATGTAACAATATCTGGTTTTGCACTTGGTTTTAAGATCACTATTAACACTATTTATGATATATCTAACATTGCAAATCTCCTGTGCCATTTTTATGTTAATCAATTCTACTCATATATATTTATAATTGTTCCAATGAAGATACAACAATATTGCAATAAAAAAACCGAATAAAGATTGCATTTAAGCTTGTATTCCTCTGAGTGTTGGTTTTATTTTTCCTATATTTGTTTACCACAAGGAGGGACTACTGAGCAACTGTTTGTTTGCCCTCTGTACTGGCTGCTCTGAAGGCTTTGTTTCAGCAGGTGATACAAAATATCCAATTAAAATAGCATTTAGTAGTCGTAAAACAAAACAAATATCTTTATTTATTAAGTATTCCATGCTGAAAATAGTCATAAATTCTAGTTTTTGGGCTACAAATAGTTATTAAAAATAATGTGACTGATGATTCATCATTTAAAAATTGCAATCAGCAAAAATGATGCATTAAAAGATGAATTTGGGTGTGGTAGTCACCATCTTGGATTCGGTGGTAGCCAGTCCTGTGCTCTACCACCAGGGGTTGCCAAATTGGTGCCGGGGCTACGGTGGGAATTCCACACATAGACTGGTTTATTATTATGATTGACATGGGTGCGGTTGCAACTTGCATTTCTCCTGAAGCGTGGTGCTAAATAATGCCTGGTGCCCCCCTCCTCATCTCTGAGCCCCTCGGGTTGGTGCTCCCATCTGTGCCACAGCCTCACGGATTTGGGTGTGGATAAATGTATGTGTGTGTGTGTGTGTGTGTGTGTGTGTGTGGGCGGGACGGGGGGGAATAGCCAGTAGCACATCACTGCCTGAAACACCTGGCATAAAAAAAGTTCTGATGTCATATTTTACAGTTGTTCCCTTCAAACTCTTGCTGTTGTAAAACAAGGTCAAGGCTGCTGCTTGGTCTTCAGATTAAGGGCTTTGTGTTGTGCTCAGTGGGCACAGTACAGCAGCTCCCTGTAGGAGGCACACAGCTGGTGTTGCGCGCTGCCAATACTCATTTGAACATGTCACAGTGGAGTCCCACGAGGAGTCCACATCAACCAGGGGCTAATTATTTCAGCAGTGGAGTGCAGCCGGGGCCACGTCTAGGCTCCTTTCCGTTCTCACTTCTTCTGTCCCCCCCCCCACCCACTACTACTTTTTTAATTTTGGGGTGTTGCCAAAGCGTCAGTTTACTTTAACATGACAAGGAAGACAGATGCTGGGCACAGTTGCACGGATGTGCAGAGTGACAAGGGCCTCCTGGGTGGCAAGTGTGGCTTTTTAATCTGCCGTGGGTTTTTAAAGAGGCAAAATGGCTATGATGATAGCAACTCATGGCAGGAAATTGAGAGGAAGTTCATATGTTGTTCTATTTTTGGAGGCGGTTATTTGTACCTCTCCTTTACTGTACTGTTGTGAAGCTGAATTATCCAGCTTCCACCCGTGTACTTTTGTACATCCCAGTGGTATTTGCTTCTTTTTTCATAGGATTATCTCAACTCAATATTTGGCCTTTGCTACAATATGCAGCATTCTCCGCAGAGTCAATCATATCTTATCATGAACAAAGAGAGAAGCATGAGATTTCAGTTCGTAACACAGCACTGGACACTGGGGAAGTTGCTGTAGAAATGTGAGTGAAACGCAAGTAAATATTTCTCCACCATGTAGAAACATATCAAACTATGACTATATTTTAAAAAAGGGGGGGAGAGCATCAACTCTTACAGTACACTTTGTTACACTGTTATGGTCTGTGTTTCAAGCAGCACATGCAGTTCCAGTCTGGGTGTAGTCCACCGCAGTCAGTCATGGTCAAACAGGCCACCGCTTGGTTCGAGAGGATAAAGGCTTTCTGACAGCTGACCTTTGCTTCCAGGTCCACTCCACCTTTAAAAAGTGAAATGTGACCTATAGACCGCAGTGATTTCCATTGCAATCCTACAGAAATAATTAATTTCATCACAACAGGGACCCTGGATGCCATGCCTTTTAAGCTACGGTAGCGGCATGACTCCGTGGATGACAACGTTGGTCAGTTGGTGCACCCCTTTGGTCCAGACTGAAATATCTCAGCAACTGTTGGATGAGTTGCCGTGGAAATTGATATAGATATCCACATATTCACAGAGTATGAATCCTAATGACTTTGGTGATCCCCTGACTTGTCCTCCAATCCACCATTGAGTTCATATTTCTGGTTTTCAGCAGGGGTGGAAGTATTCAGATACTCTACTTAAGTAAAAGCAAAATCTGTAACTGTGTAGCAAAAAGAGAAAAGTTACGAATCCGAATAAAATTGACACAAGAAGAATTAAATTCATGTAAAGGCCAATACACAGAGTTCTGCAGCTCAAAGCAAACTGCAGAAAGCAAATAAACTTTGTTTTTTTTACATACACATGCTGTTCAATAAAGATTAAAGGTGGTGGGAAATACAAAGACCTCAAGGTTTTAGTTGAACCTTGTATTGGTTCCGCTGCACAACAAAAAAGACGATATAACTTTATGTACTTCCCTTAGACCTGCTTTATTAAGACATTTTAGGACCACTCAACGGCATTCAAAGGGAACATTATAGCCCATTACATAGACCTGTGTCAACATTTGGGAATTCAAGCCTAGGAGACATACTTAGCGTGCTCTCTGCTCTCTGCTCAACCCCTCCTCTGCCCGCTGAACCATGAAAGCCTATAGTACAGTCTAATGACACAGACTTGGGCATATTTCTTGTGTCTCTGCACTTTGGCACAACCGCTGGTGTTTTCTATATAGGAAGGCAGAAAGATGGTTCTCAGACTCGAGCTCTTGTTTTTGTTCAGAGCAGGTATCCTCGCGGTTTGTCAGATTTAACACTCGGCTGCACCTGACGACTCCGGCCACGCTCATGAGGATAAGCGCAGGTTCTACCTCACTACTCAGTAATGCAACCTAGTTCATCACAAGAGCTCTTGAATTCTCTTTCTCTGAGCCAGTCTGGACAGAAGCTGATGATGAAGATGAATTTGCTCAAACTAACATTTTTGTTTTTTAAATAAATGCCTCGACAACTATTGGATGGATGAATTGGTATGAAATTGTGTGAAGACATTAACAAAATTACAAGACATTGTAAAGACCTTTCCTCTAGTGCCGCCAGCAGGTCAATGCTTTCAATAAAATATATCAACATCTACTTGATAGATTTGCACAAACTGTACAGTCTTCACTTGAAAGGATGGAAAGAAAAGAGAAGAACAACCCAGACAATTAAAAACAACTTCAAAAAAGTGCTTTTTATGTTACACAGAGGTTAAGTAAACAGAGCTTTGGTTGTGAAGAAGCTACTGAAAAAGACCGATTAAAGTAAAACAAAGCACCAAGCTTTTCATGGCCAATTAGAGTGGGTCAATCTGACCACAAATTGCTCATTGATGATCTTAGAGGAGGATCAAGGGCCACTAAGCACAAGGGAGGAACGCTGTGTATATCAGTAAGTCAAAGGAATGGAATGGCCTGGCTCTAAGCCCAATGAGAGCCACTTACCCAACATCAGGGTGACGTGTGTTGCTCTGCCAAAACCAGAGCTGCTGTCAGGTCTACAGGCAGGATAGATTGTAACATTGTTCTCCATCTCTTTTTTTTCTTCTTCTTTGGTTGCTTTGGAGGAAGTTGGTAACTGTGAAGAGCAGGGGTGAGGACTTTGCTTTGATACTGAGTTGCAGAAATGCAAAGAACCAGTGAGAGGGGTATGAGGCGAGACATCTTCGAGTCATCTGACTGCGAATTGCAAGAACCGCATGGGGTCCTCCCTCGGGGATTCGCCGCTGGTCAATACATCGGCATTGTGTCATGATAGATTCTTGTGTTGGTGCTCATATCAAGCTGGCCTTTTAGCTATGAGTCAGTGATCCAGAAGACCATATTGGATAATCTGATTTGTGTCTCAATCTTCAATTCTGCCTTTGTGTCAGCAGAGGCTCTTGCAATATAGTGTAATGTTTGTCATCTGGGCAGCAAAAGATCTCTTAAAGCAACAGTTTGACATTTTGGGAGAATTGCTTATTAGCTTTCTTGCAGAGGGTTCGATGAGAAGATAGATTTCCCCCTTTCATATCTGTAGCATTATGCTAAATATGGATCTATAACCAGCAGTCAGTTAGCTTAGCTTAGCATAAAGACAGTGGGGAACAGCAAGCCTGTCTATGCCCACAAGCAAAAAGAAACAACAACAAAACCCACCTACCAGAACCTAGCTGAACAATAATGTAGTTTTTTGTACAGATTAAACAAACAAGATACCATATTGACCCAAATATAATCTAATATTCATTTTTCTGCAAATCAACTTTATTCTTATTATATTCGAGTACGAGACATTATTGAGAGAGAAAGGGCCTTAGGGATGGGGACTGTCTTTGGTATGAACTAATAAAATCTTCCCAGCAGGACCAGTATTAAAGTGTTTACTAGACTATATGACTTCCCAAAAACAGCTGTTGGAAAAAGGTGAGGTCATCTAATAACCAGGGTCATCTTTTTGTTCCAATACGGTTTTATAATGTGTTAATTTGTGGTCTTTAGAGGTGCTATTCATTTTTCCTTTTTTTTATACTTCTGGAGAGGGGCTAGCTTATCTTCTGCTAAACTGATCTAACTGGCTGCTGGCTGTAGCTTCATATGTAGCGCACAGACATGTGATACATATCTTCTCATCTACCAAAAAGCCTATTTATTCCTTTCTATTATGTGAAAGGAACATGAACTTTGAAATTAACTTCCTCACCCAGTGTAGCCAACATTGTTGCATCTTCTTAAACTATAGCTGTCTCTTGATAACACAAAGATATCTTCTTGTAAGGCTGGGCCGTGTCAAAGCTTGCTGACATGTTACCCAGGACATTGTGACCAGACAGTCTCCTAGCTGCTCCACCCCCCCCCCCCCCCTGTGTGTGTTTTTGTGGGAGGGGGGCCACCCTCCCTCTCCGAGCATCAGACCACACAGCTCAGCCCTGAGACCTGTCAAACACAGCTGGGACATCTCCCCCCTCTCTCCCCCCTCAACTCCTATCCTCTCCTCCTCCTTCCTACCTCTCCTCCCCCTCCTTGCTCCCCAGACTCCGGCAGGAAGCTTTGATACAGGGGTGTTGAGCAGCATGGGGAGCGTTTCCATTTTTATCTGCTTCGAA